ATTTGCTCAAAAAGTAAAAATATTGGATTTCAAGTGGTTTCCCACCCACCCAAAATCCCCCCAACCCACTTCTAACGTACTCCACAAGTTAAAAGTCCACTATAACTAACAATTATTCGTTCTATTAAGTAATTCTCTGGCATGCTAATTAATATTTTACTATCTAAATCGTATAACATGACCTCGGGATCAGATTCATAGTTTCACAACATCATACGATATTAGTAACGATACGACCAATAACAATATTAGTATTCATACATATCGTGTATAGGAGCCATGGTGACCTGATCAACATAATTGCACACTTGCCCAACAAATAATTGAGTCCACGAAGACCACACCAATCATCCAACTAATTGAAATTATTACAAGAAAACGAAGTGTTGTTTAATTTAAACAATTGGTCTCTATCATTAGTTCTTTTCAAAAATTATTTTTGGAAAAATTCATTTGTTTATAAATTACTATATTCTCCACTCGGACATCTATGTTCTTAATTTGGCTCATCAATTCAGTTATCTATTGATATTTTCCTTAAACAGTTTGTCGAAATGCCTCAAAAAGGTTGAGGTAGAAACTAATTGTATTAGAGTGAAGAAAAATATCTGAATCCGCCACTATATTCTTACGATCCAAACTGAACTTATCATTTCTGTTCTTCATGATTTTTGAGATTAAGACAATCGTTGTCATAATAATGTAATTGCCTAAGCAGAATTAAAGAAAATGGGTGGCCAGCAAGGTTGGTCCAGCAAAGTTAATATCTTGCGTTTGTTCGATTGTGAATGGGACATCCCTAATTTCTGGTGCAAATAAATAAATTAATAGCTGGAATCTTTTATCATATAGCGAAGATGATCAATTGGAATCTTGCTTGGGTGTGGGGTAGACAGAGAGGTTGTAGTGGGTGGTGGAAGAAAGCTGGAATCTGTCCCAAAAGATGAGTGAGAGAGAGATACTGATGGAGATTTTGATGGCTTAACTTCCAATCATCCTGCATTTCCCAATAGCCAACAAGTAATGTTTTTGATAGGCTTCATCTTCTTTACGCATTTGCCAATTTGGCATGCCCCAATTATTGTTTTTCATCCATTAATTTCCCAATTCCCCCACTCGGATAGTGCACCATTGAAAAAGATGAAAAGGGTTTAATAAAAAAATTTTAAAAAAAAGATTTCTCTGAATCTCTGGATAAAATCCTAACAACCCATTACATCAAATATTATACATCAATCAAACTAATTAACAAGGTTACTTCTATAGTGCCTAAGATTATATCAAATCTTCAAACTAGTAATTAATCATCTGTCACCCGCTGCCAATTTGGTGTTGCAAAATGCCAAAAGAAAACCAACCCAAAGAAACAAATGAAACCCAGAAGGCTTTCTTTCTACAATATAAATGTAATGTAGTTGAGAGAGACTGAGTCAATATTTGGTGCTAGCAAAGCTTCTGAATCTGAAGATACATTTACATTGGGAAAAGATGAGGATACATAAGACAAAGGAAATTCCTGTCATGGCAGCTCATAGCTTTTGGTATTCTAGTGCTTTGTTAAATATTCATCAAGGAATGATCCAAACTACACAAAGATAAAGTTTTATTTTTTATTCACACTCTTGGGATGTTCCCTTCGAAAAGTCATCACCCCTTATGATGTAATAATTGAAATTGTTTATTAAAATATGTTCAATGCAACAGAAAAAACAGAAAATAATGTTTTTAATAAAAGTCCATAACAATATCAACCCTTGAGAAACTAGAGTTCTTGTCTATAAGTGATAGGGTTTCTGTCTCCAATGGCGGGAGTTCCCTTAAAACCTCCCATCACCTTTTCTGGTTCTCACATCAGAAATGTTCTTGTCTATAAGCAAAAGGGTTTTTGCAATAAGTTCACATTAGCAACAAGGCAAGTAACCATGCTTCACAATGAAGTAAAGTAGAAAGAAATCACATTTGCATTTCAACGATTGCTTCATTCCTTAGTAACCAGCCTATGTTCATATTGAATGAGAAATTTGATTAACTTGAACCATTTCCAAAGTCTCAAGTCCCTTTTTTCAGGGGAAAAAAAAGTAATATGCATCATTAGAAGAAATAATGTATCCAACAGCGTATACGGATGTGAAACAAAATTTGGTATCTTGAAAATAGTTGGTGAGCTTGCCTTATGCAGCCAAAGACACTGAATCATAGTTTTGGAGAAGAGCATTATCACAGTACCAGTCCATAGGATCCAAATCATGCATCAAAGCCTTTACATTAGCATCAAAATCCATCCTTTTGATTTCCTCCATTAAAACTCCCAATACACAATATATCTCTTCACAATGGGAGTGGGAACGATCTTCAGCTTTGAAAGAAAAAACCTCATTCTTAATTTCTATCCAACTCCAACCGGGGACTTTTCTCACACCCCTTTCCCTCATAAGCCTCTTTACACTAGCTTTTTCATCCCACCTTTTGAGATGTCCATACATGTCGGAAAGAAGAACATAAGTGCAGTGCTCTTCCGGCTCTAGCTCTAGCAGATAGCCTGCTATTTGACTAGCTAATTCAATATTCCCACAAGCCCTACAGGCACCCAATAAAGTCTTCAAAACCATTGCATCGGGTTTAAAGGGCATTGCTTCAATCAAAGCTTTCGCCTCATCTAGACGCCCAGCGCGCCCATATAGATCCACTGCACAAGCATAATGCTCCATTCGTGGGATTATTCCATAATCAGATTCCATAGACATTAGAAACTTGCAGCCTTGTTCAACCAAACCCATGTGGCTACAAGCTGTTAGAACTGCAACAAAGGTTATATGATCAAGTTTCACATTTTCCTTCTTCATTTGGAAGAAGAGGTCCAGTGCAACATATCCCTGTCCATGCTGTGCATATCCAAAAATAATCGAATTCCAAGTGATTGAGCTGTCTTTAGGGGTCTGTTCAAAGGATTTTCTAGCACCCTCAATGATCCCACACTTAGTATACATAAAGATCAAAGAACTAGCAACAAATTCATTGGACTCAAGCCCTGACTTATGTGCCAAGGCATGTATCTCTTGACCCAGTTGGAGGGTTGCTAAATCTGAACAAGACCTGAGGACAGCTGAGAAGGCATAATGATCAATCTCTACCTCCGCGTATCTCATATGTCCAAAGAATTTCAAGGCATATTCATTCAACCCCAATTGCGATAATCCAGTCAAAATGGAGTTCCAAGAAACACGATCCTTAGACTCCATAGATTTAAATATCTGTAATGCTTCTTCCATGGAATTGCTATTTGACTTGAGATACCTGGCTATCAAAGCATTAGAGATTGGCTCTGATTTTTCTAGTCCCCTTTTTATTACCAATCCATGATAGGATTTTCCATGGTTTTTATGTACTTCTTCAGAATAGGCACTGATGATGCTCGTATAACTGTAAATGTCTGGTTCAAACCCAAGCATTTGCATGTCTATGAAGAGTTTGCAAGCAAGTAGTTCTTTCTTATGAATCAAGTATGCTGCTAGCATGGAATTCCATGTTACCAAATCTCTGCTACCAAAAGCACCATCAAACACTCTTTCAGCATCTTCTATCGACCCACACTCTGAGTATGAAATGATTGTGGCATTGCACACAGTACTTTTACAATCCAGCCCATGTTTCAGAATTTTACAATGGATTTGCATTGTGGACTTGTAAAACTCAGCATCATCAAGCAATGTCAAGATTGGAGCAATTGCGCCATCTTCAAGCTTCACCCCCTCCTGCTCCATACAATTCATCAACCAAAATGCAGTTTTACGATCATCTACTTGCACAAAACCAGCAATTAATGCATTCCACGACACAGAATTACGTTCTGGCAAGGAATCGAAGACCACATACGCTTCCTCAACTCTCCCACACTTTGCATACATGTCCAAAAGAGCACTTCCCGAATAAACATTACCCGCGTAACCAGTCTTAACAACCATGGAATGCACTTGTTCCCCAAGATCACATTGATAAGCACAAGCGACCCCCTTAAGTATGCTTCCAAATGTATACCCATCAAAATCGAATCCGCATATTTTCATCTCTCTTAGTATCTCCCACGCAGCCTCAAAGTTCCCATAGTTCACATGCCCAGCAATCATTGTATTCCAAGACACAGTGTCTCTTTGGGGCATGTCGTCGAACATTTTGTGAGCAAGAAAAAACTCATGACATCTTGCATATCCATTTAGGATATTGTTGGCGTAGTAAACGTCTGTGAGGGCCCCTAATTTGATTTCCCTACAATGGGTTATCGAAACCTTGCACAAAGCATTCACTGTGCTGCCAAGGAGCGAGTGCAGTGCCCTCATTCATGAGAAGCCACCAATGCCGTTTTCGCTACATAAACAAAGATAAAGCCTTTCCCTTTTTCGAACACCCAACACTAAAAAGAAATTGAATTTACCAACTTGGTCATGCCCATTTGGTCGAGCCAAAAAACAATATAAAAAAGATTCAATTTTGAAGGAAATTCAAAGAAAACGAGGGAAGTAGGCTCTGCTAGTAACTAGTATGGTGTTATGAGTTATGGTGAAGGAAGAGCAATGGAAGACAAACAAACAGAGGTAGCTCTGGGTCCAAGTACGCGCTAGTTCAGGCTACAGAGCTAAGTGGTGGCGGCAACAATGGCGGGTTGAGTTTTGTTTGTTCGAAATATCGGTTTTAAATGGGAAACGGTCACTTTATGTTTCTACGTTTAATTCCCTCCAAATGGATATGTTTTAAATTTAAAATGAAAAAAAAAAGGTTTATATTTTTCTTGAATATGTATGATAACATAAAGATAACATTCATTTTAGTTTTTCTCTTCATTTTACAGAGATGCCAACACCGCAAACAAACGAATAAAGAATTCTTGTAAATTGCAATGTAACATAAACAATATAAAGGTTTTACAAATGCATCTTAAAGTTGTTTTAATTTTAAGCAACTTGTGGCATTGAGGACGTAACGCTTTCAAAGTAAGAACTTGCAAATTTGCAACTATTTTTCATTCTTTCATGCATTAGTTGTTGAACAAGAGGCTCGAATTTCGCCTTCTTCACCATTCTTGACGCCAATGCTAGCAAGCTTCAAGAATGACTGAGCCCAACTCTCAAAGAAAATAACTTGGTCCTGTGCAAAACTCTCCACTTGCTTCCTTGTTCTGTCATCGCTTAACAGGACGGAATCCGATTGCAATAGCCCTCTGTGGGCTAAGAGATTTTGGTAGTATTGATTATCGAACGCAAACGAAGTGTTAGGATCAATTTTAACTGTCGTAGATGGATTTGCGCCCGCAGGGCACTGTCTCATGAGCTCCTCTGCATAAGCATTGTCTAAGGATGTGTCAATGAGTTTGTGTTTCCCTTTGGAGTCTTGTTGGAACCTGTCACTAAATGCACCACAATGAGCTGATCCAATAGTGTGAGCTCCTAGAATAATATCATCAAAGAAAGCAGTTAATGGTGTACCTAGAAGACTTCAACCCCTCATTAAATTTTTCAACTAACAAAAAAGTGGTTCAATCAAACTTCGGCAAGAAAAAACATGTGTCTAGATAAATAAAATTGTACCTGATAGGGTGACAAGGTCATCCAAAGACAACCCTTTAGATACGAAGAGCTTAATCATCTCATCCATTGTAAAACTTGTGTCTACAATATTAGGCCTGACATTTGAAGCTGCAGAAACCTTTCCATCTCTCCTACCAGTTGGAATCTGAACTACAGGTCCCCCAGCCTGTTTTCCAGTCATCACCATACTATAATAAATACCCAACTAGAAGACGCAGAAAAATAAAAAAGAATTAATGAAGAATTAAACATAACAGTTAATGAGGGAGATGAATCTTAACAATTTCAACAGCATCTCTAGCAGCCAAAGCAACAATGTCAGCACAAGAAACAGTTCCTGGACAGAAAATTTCAAGCAATCTTTTTGCTGAATCAATCACTGAAAAGCCACCCAGAGATGTGTTTGCTGGATCACTTCTCTCAGTCCCAGTTCCTTTTAGAAGCACAGATGCATCACAACCCTGAAATCATGAAAAACATTACACAAACAAAACATGCATGAAAGAAGCCACCCATTTTCATGGTTTAAGAATTATTTTTTTTTCTTGGGGGAGGGAGCTTAGTGTCAATTCAAATCAATGCCAAAAGTCAATGAGGCATAATGTATCTAAGAGAGCAAGCTAGAGTTGTTTACCTCCACAAAGCAATCATGGAAGAGCAAGCGAAGGAGCTTCCCAGGGATGGTAGGGTCCATGTCAGAAGCTGAACTGACTGTGTTTCTGACCATGAGCTCAGCAGAAGGGCACGAAGCTGAGTAGAAACTCAATGTGAGCTCATCACAAGAAGCAGAAGCAGCTAAACATAACCACACAAAGAAGACACCATGTGTGTAAAAGAAGGCTGTTGGTCTTTTCTCCATATTGGGTTATTTTCATGGAGCCTAAACCATACAGAGGAATTCTTAAGACATTGACTTCTTGGCTCTTGTATTATTATAGAGCATTCAAAGTCAGAAAATATCAGAGAGAAAGAGACGGATAGGGAGAGAGCAAGAGATAGTTGGGCATGTGGAACCATATGTAAGTTTTATTTAAAGCTCCATTAATGTGGTTTTGGTAATGTCAGAAGGTAGATGGCTTCACTTTGGTTGAGAAAATTACTCATCGCACCAAGAAAAGAAAGAAGCAAAAATAGGATTTTGTGTGGCTCCATGACAGCAACATTTTAGATTATCAGATTCCGACCCCATTTATTAACTCTCGGGAAAATTTGAAAATTGGATAGAATTGATGTCTAGGATGAGATTCACGTGATACATAAGAAGATGAGGAATGCATTGATAGAATTGAAAAAATGGAGACGAAGACCGTGTATTTGAAATAGTACAAGAACTAGTCATGATAAAAAATAAACCTATAAAATTTCATCCGTTAGACGGATGAATGATTTTTACACAAGTCAGTATATCTCTTGTTCTTATTGGGCCAATATGTGATTTGCTCACCCTTACAGAAATTAGACACTGAATAAAAGATAATCTAAAACTAACTGGCCTAAAACAATGAAAATTTTGAAAATAGAGGTCAGACCAGACCAACCTGATAGACCATCCAAGCATATACATGAAATTCGATTACATATACTTCAACTGTGAGAACCTAATGTCATTGATCAGCAAAAATATTTTGAAACTGACAGAAAGACAGATGCCTGAAGAGCAATACAACTACACTACAGGAGCTTCAAATATTTTCAGTTTTAGTATCCACAGCATCTTCGGCAAGTTCTTCCAACTCATCCACATCATCTACATCATCAATGGGAATGTCTTCACTGTTATCTTCAAGAGAACCTACAGAAAGCTTTGAAATTAGTTTTAGGAAAGCATAAAAGAGAAAATTTGTAACAAGGACAGAGAAGAAAAAATTGTTACCTGTACGGATCAATGGAAGAGGACTCCTAGGTACTTGTGATGATTCTGACGTGTTATCAAGAAGGTAAGGAAGTTCCAGAAACTGCAAAAGAGATTCTGTCTGAGGATTCCGAGTGTATTCTGCCAAAAGAAAAATTGTAGTATTAACATAAGATGTTCTTGTTTATCAACATATCAAATGACATTACACAAAGGATGGCATAATTATCCTTACCAGGAAAGGTACCACTCGGGACAGAGTTAGAGGGATTGTAAGGTGGAGCTGTCTGGGTGAATTCAAAAGGTCTAGCCCCTCTTGCTTGTAACTTTCTCCTGACCCATTGACGACAATCTTGCTTGTCAAGATGTACATTCCTACAGTATAACATACACACTTAGTAGCTAATTTATAATAGAAAAAGACAGTTAAAAGGGTGAAGAGGAAGAAAAGGTTTAACAGTCAGATCATCAGTAGCATTCACAATACATTTCTAAAGAGGTACACACCAAAAATTTGCACTTCTATTTGTGAGAGGGAAATTAGAGTTAAATCGTCGAGTTATTTCTAGCCATTCTTCATCATACTGGATTTCATAAGGGCCTGGCTCAGATTCAATTTCAATAACCTAAAAAACCAGAAAATGTCACACATAGAACTATTAGCTACCAGCAATGACTCCAGGGAACACCCTATATATTACATTCAAAATCACATCAAATACCTGCAGAAATTTGCGTCCTGGTTGGCACTTGTCAAGGGCAAGAAAGTTTGTCACTGAACCATCTTCCTCGTGCTGAACAAGAGCAGCAAATTTGCAGTGTAGATGAGCTGAAAACCAATAAGGTGGTTTCAGTTTTTCTAGCAATTGAGCAGCTGGTTTACTCCCAAGATTTCTTTCCTGAACCTAATGACATTTTAAACGACACAAGATATTTAAAATCATACCAATCAAAGCTTACCAACTCATTTTTCCATTCTTGCAATTACCTCCTTCTCAAAAAAAGGTTTGTCCCGAACAAGTTTCTTCCAGTCCCCACAATCAGTGATGCCAACAGGCCAATCATGTGAAAGAAAAATATCAATTGGTTCCTCAACTTGCATGAGTTTGTGGACATCATATTCACGAACATGATATATGGACCTGATAGTACTCTCATTATAAGGAGGCCTCTCATAGTGCCCTGCTCAGGAGGAGGAATAAGTTACCCTTGTTATAACACCCCATGTAGCAATAATTGCCCATACCATAGCTATACTTAAGAATAAGAACAATATCCAAACATAAATAACTATGTTTCACCAACAAACGATAAGCAAGTAATAAACATCTGGAATGACACAAATTTAAAGCAAACTAACCTTTGCAATAATTGTGCCGGTTGTAAATTCCAGACAGCCCACCAATTCGAATGTTTCCAAACTTGACTACCCCAGCAAACCCCAAGAAGTATATATTAGGTGCTGCCCACCCTCCATAATACCTGAAAAACAGAAAAAACAAGTAAAAATCACCGGGAAAATGGCAAGACATGATTCATTAAAAAAACGACAAACAGAAAAATTGGAAGGGAATGCTATAGCTTATAGCTGAAGAAGGGACTCACAGTTCCCACAAATAATTAGAAGCTTCGTGATTTCCACCGATGAATATTGTGGGGAACGGAGCAACTTCCTCGCCGGAATAGTATTTCCAGAAGGTCTTCATGTCCCGATATTTTCGAGGCACATTTAAACTCTCTAAGTCCTTCTCATTCCTCACAGCCTAATTTCACGAAAACATTTACATATAAACCAATATTGTCCAATTTCAGAAACAAGCAAACAAATAAAAAAGCTTGAAACTTTAGGGCAAATAAGCAAAGAACGAAACTACAAGTTGCAAGTTTTGGGGCAATTTGAAAACTTTCAGGCCCACTTAAGCTCTCCAAATCCTTGTCATTCCTCACAGCCTAGTTCTTCCGAAAACAATTGTATTCAACTAAACATCGTTAAATTTCAGAAACAATTCAATGAAGAAAAAAGCTCGAAATTTGGGCAAGTGGGTAATGTACCTGAAAGTCGCCGCAGCAGAGGAGAAGGTCGATTTTGGTGCTGTGAAGTTTTTCGTAGTGTTGGAGGGTTCTGTAGACATTGTCGAGGTCGCCATGCATACAACCTTCTACTGCGATTTTCATTCTGATTCCCAAATCCGAGCCACAAGCTGGAGTGCAGGGAACCCAACCCAATACCAGGGTTTAAGCGAAGCTTCCCTTTGGGTTTTGTTTACCGCTTTTTTTAAGACGGATTTTTGCCCAATACTGAGGTGCTTTACCGCTTTTTTAAGACGGATTTTTGCCCAATACTGAGGTGGATTGAATTTTGAACTAATTAATATATTTATCAAAAAAGACAAAAAATGGTAAAATATTCAAAATACCAGAAAATACTTTTGGTTAATGCAAACATTAAGAATTGAAATTATTAATTAAATAAGGATGATATGATAAATTCACACTTTTTCATATTAAAAAAATTTAAAATTAAAAGAAAAATCGAATAATGGATCCTATTTTTATGAAACACAACTACTCCTTATCTTTTTTAATTTTAAAATAAATTTAAATTTTTTTTCAAAAAAGCCTCTTGTAGGCATGAAAGCGCGTGCGGAGATACTAGTATTTATAATAAATAAAACTTATTATTATTGAACCTCTTTTGATAAAAGAAACAAGGATAAAAAGATGTATTGAACCGAAATTTTAATTATGAAAAGAAAAACACTAATGGATGTTAGTTTCTAAATCATAAAGCAATTCTAGAATTTCTCAAAAATAAAAAAATAAAAAAATTCGTAAAGTAATAGACTACAAAATTTTAATGTGTTAATTTTCTCTAAGACATATTTTTAGGGTGCCATAAACATTATAAGCTAAGTAAAACCTAATAAGTTTGATTAAAAAAGGTTGAATATTGGGTTTTCTTCTTTCTTGACACAAGTAATGTTTTTTTTTATTTAGAGTAAGCGATAATTGTATTCATAACTTCTTAGCTCACAAGCAACATTAAATGAGAGAGGTATCGAATAATTAGCTCACATACATGGGTCAATGCTATTGAACTTCTTAAACTACAAATTCCTTGAAAATATTGAATTGAAAAAAAAAAACATATAATCAACTGAAAATCAAATTCCAAATGCAATAAGCA